GAGGGTCGATTTTCTGACTGAAGGACTGAAACCAGTGGGGTCACACAGTGGTCAATATTGGGACTCTTGCTATATGTGGTTTATATAAATGATTTAGATTTGAATGTAGGAGGGTTGATGAGTAAATTCACACATGATACCAAAATTTGGTCATATAGTAAATCTAGACGAGGTCAGCCTCAGATTACATGAGGATATGCATGAGCTGGTCAGATAGGCTGATCAGTAGCAAATGAATTCAATCGGTAAATGAGAGGTGATGCACTCGGACATGATAAACAAAGCAAGGGAATACATGGTAAACGGTTGGACCCTGGGACCCAAGAATCAGAGGGACCTTGGTATGTGTACACACCAGTCCCTTAAAGTATCAGAACAGGTGGATAAAGTGGTTAAGAAGGCATATGGTATAGGCCTTTACTGAGTTAGAGCAGTTATGCTGGAATTGTATAAAATGTTAGTTGGGCCATTGTTAGAGTACAGTGAGCAGACCTAGAATCCACACTATAGGAAGGATGAGACACAACTGGACAAGGTGCACTGTAGATTTACCAGGACGTTGCCTCAGCTGGAAAATTTCAGTTACTAACAAAGATTGGACAAACTGGGGTTGTTTTCTTTCGAGGGGAGATTGACAGGTGACATGATTGAAGCATATGAAATTATGAAGGGCATAGACAGGATAGACAGGAAAAAACTTTTCCCTTTGATTGAGGGACTAATGACCTGTGGCACAGATTTAAAAGTAAAGGGCAGAAGGTTTAGAGAAGATGTAAGGAAAAACATTTTTACCAAAGAGGTGGGAATCTGGAATTTACTGCCAGTAAGGATGGTAAACGCAGGAACCTTTAAAACATTGAGGAAGTATTTAGGTGTGCACTTGCAATGCGAAGGTCTACAAGGCTATCGACTAAGTGCTGGTAAATGAGATTAGAATAGTTAGGTGGCTGTTTTTGACTGGTGCGGATCTGAAGGACTGAAGGGCCTTTGTCTGTGCTGTTGACCTCTATTGCTCCATGACTGTATGACTGTAATTTCACAGTTCATTCACAACTTAAAGGTCGTGAAAGGATTATCTTTGATGTGCAGCTATTAATAGAAACATTTGACTATATAACAGGAATTAAGTACTTTAAGGAAATGCTGAAAATAAACACTGGAAGGATTTCAATATCTCAAACGAGGTCCAATGAAGAAGAGTTTTTTTTGTAAATATAGTGAAGTATGTCATTGATTCTTAGAAGTTTATTTTATTCCATCCTAGCATGGGAAGAGGTCAGACCATGGTGGATACTGAGGGATGAATTGAGGGAAAAGGGTGGTGGGTGATGGGTTGACATGTGTTGGTGCTAAGTTGACATAGTGTCTAAAAAGGAGGTTAAAAAGGGGGTTAAAAAGGGCACAAGTTGGAGAAAAGCCACGATTTGTCATAGAGAGGGGCTAAGTGAGGACATGAGGTGCAATGGATCAGACACAGGGTTAAGTATGCGTGAGGCAATGGCTATTATCCAGTTGAGCACATTTTTACAACTGGGGCAAAGTCCCACAAAATCACGGTTCAATCAACATTCAAAATTTTGCAGCTTCTGTGGCTGCCTCCACACGGTTTCAAGGGAGGGGGTGCCTGGAAGGTCCAATTCCAATCAGTATGAACCCCTTGTGTGAGAACCCAGATGTATGGCGTGTTTTCTCCCATTTTCCTCTGGGCTTACAGAGTTTCCCATCTCTGAATTAAATTCAGTGCAGGAAATCAACTTTGCAATATTGTTAGGACGACTAGAGTAAGGGAGTGTTTGGAAAATAGCAATCACAACAAAATAAGATTCACTATTAAGTGAGAATATGATAAAAATCAGTCAATCATCAAGAACCCAGACTGGAAAAGGGCAAATTTTAGGGGTCATGAAGGTGAACTGAAGCAGGTTGACTGGGAACTTATTTTGGTGGATAAAACTTTGGATGAAAAATGGGAGAAATTCAAAAGAGAGATGAATAGGGTTCAAGTTACATACATACCCATGAGAAATAAATACGGAGTATCGAAAGCTAGAATACCCTGGATGACTAAGGATATTAATGAGAAAATAAGGAAGAAAAAGGAGGCACATGCTAGAATAACAATAGCAACAGAAATCAGGAGTATCTCAAATACAGGAGAGAGGCTAAGACCGGAATAAAGAAGGTTAAGAGGAAGCATGAGAAAAGGATGGCAGGCTGCACTAAAACAAATAGTAAAACTGTTCATCAAGCATATTAATAATAAAAGATTTGTGAAGGATAGAGTGGGACCCATAAGGAACTAGCAGGGTAAGCTGCTCATTGAAGCAAAGGGTATGACAGAGGTACTAAATGAGTATTTTGCTTCTGCCTTTGCCAAATTGGAAAGTGGTGAAATTGGCCAAGTTGAAAATGTTGGTGTTAAGCAACTGAGCAGTATAACAATAGAAAAAGAAGAAGTGTTAAAAAAAGGTTGGCAGCACTCCAGGGAGAGAAGCAGCCAGGCCTGGATAGGATGCATCCTAGGATTGCTGAGAGTAAGGGAGCAAATTTTAGAGGCATTGACAGAAATTTTTTAGGCCTCTCTAAACACAGCATTCATCCTGGGGGACCAGAGGATAGTAAATGTGATACCATAGTTTAAGAAAGGGGCAAAGGGTAGCCCAGGAAATGACAGACCTGTTAGCTTGATGTCAATAGTGGGAAACTGATAGAGGCCATCGTATAACATAAGATAAATATATACTTTTAGAAAAATAAATTAATAACAGACAGTCAACGGGCAGGCATATCTGAAAAATTTAACTGAGTTCTTTGACAAGGTGACAGATATCAGATGAGGGTAGTGCTGTGGATATTGTATATTTGGACTTTCAGAAAGCTTTTGATACAATGCTTTGTATCAGGTTCGTTAGCAAATTAGAAATGTTTGGGATTGATGGGTCCTTGGCAGCATGGATTAGAAATTGGTTAAAAGATAGGAAACAGAAGGTAGGTGTAGATGAGCAATTCTCAGATTGGAGACAAATTCAAAGTGGTGCTCCACAGGAATCGGTACTGGAACCCTTGATTTTTCTTATTTCTATCAATGATTTGGAGACAGGTGCTGATGGCATAATCTCTAAATTTGCAGCGTATTCTAAACTCAGGAGAATACTGACTTGTGAGGATGATGCTTAGTGACTTCAGAGGGACATCGACAAGTTGGCCAAATGGGCAGACAATTGGCAGATGAATTTCAAAGCAGAGAAATGAGAGGTAAGGCATTTTGATAGAAGGTACATAAAGACAATATAGGCTCAATGGTCTAACTTCCAGGGGAGTACAAGAGCAAAGGGACCTCAGGGTTCACATGCATAATTCTCAGAAGGTCACCAGGCAAACTGAAATAGTTGTTACAAAGACTTATAGGATCCTTGACTTTACAAATAGAGGTATACAGTATAAAAGCAAGGAAGTTACACTATGCTCATTTGGAGTATAGTATTCAGTTCTGGGCACCTTATTTAAGGAAGGGTGTTATTGCCCTGGAGAGTGTTCAAAGGAGATTTACTAAAACGATACCTGAAATGAGCGATTTCAGACACAAGGAAAGATTGGAGAAATTGGGATTATTCTCCTTGAAGCAGGAGAAGATTAAGTGACGTTGTTAAGGTATTTAAAATTATGAACAATTTTGACAGAATAAAGAAGAATATTCCATTTCCGCTGGTTGATTTGTCAGTAACTAGGGGTCACAATTTCAAAACTGTCAGCATGACAGCTAGGAGGGAGATAAGGAGAAACTTCTTTACTCAGTTGTTAGGTCTGGGTCGGTGTGGACTCATGGGCCGAATGGCCTGCTTCCACACTGTAGGGATTCTATGATTGAAGGCCAATATAGACAGATTTTTAATCGTTATGGGAATCCATGGTTATGGGGAAAAGGCTTGATCGTATTGAAAGGCAGATCAGACTCGATGGACTAAATGAACTATTTATGCTTCTACACCTAATGGTCGATACTCAGTTGAGTTTAGAATAATGAGGAGTTATCTTGTTGAAATATAGAAAAATTCTGAGTGGGTTTGATAGGGCTGATATTGAGAGGGTGCTTCCAATCAAAGAGTATCTCAAACTAGAAGGCGCAGAGTCAAAATAAGGGTTCTCTTATTTCAGATGGAAATAAGGAGGAATTTCTTCTCTCAGAGGATGGTTACCCTTTGGAATTCTTTACTCCAAAGTGAACTGGAGACTGCATTAGACAGATTTTTGATGCACAAAGGAGTCAAGAATTAAAGAGACAGGCAGGGAAGTAGAGTTAAGGCAATTACCAAATCAGTTATGACAAAGCAAATATGACGGACTGAATGGCCTACTCCAGCCCCTTCTTTGCAAAACAATGCATGTACAAATCAGGTGCATATTTTATTGTTTTCTGAACCCAAATTTCAGGTTAATGTGTGAACTGCAGATTTTAATGCTATTTCCTTCTCAATTGTTTGCTAGGGACCAAATTGCCACAGTGTTGTGTCTAAACCTGGAAGGTCTCACCAGAAACCTTTAGCATCCCCTAGTTTATCCACTATTCTTCCAATTTATGCTCAACGTAATAGTGGTTTTTATGTATTAACATCCAGTAGTAGTAGAAGAGCTGAGAAGATACGGAAGTCAAAGGCTACCAACTCATGGAATGGTGCACAAGGCCCTCTTACACTGGCATCGTCCTGATAGAATCTATCTACTGGTGCATGGAGGAGACAATACAACATCTTTCTGAGCGTAATCTGGGTGCAATTACCTTGACTTGTTCATATTAGAAAGTGGCTTGAGAAAGTATAAAGAATACATTTGTTTCAATACAAATGAAGGAAAATATATCCTATTAAGTTTTGATAGTTTTCAAATGGAGGGAAAGGTTCTGTGCCTTGCTCCCTAATACAAGAAGTTTACAAAATCAGGATGCAACATTGCCATCAGATGAACAAAATAAATGCTGAAAAACATTTGCTGAGTTTACTCACATTATTTGAGCGAAGTGTAACTCGGCCTCCACACCGAGCACAGAATTTGGTTTGGCAGTAAGAGCAGATATGGCCGCAGCCATCAGCAAACTTAGTTTTGAGACAGATCCCACAGGTTGGGGTATCATCCTTATGGTCCCCCTGGTAACGGCGTGCTTCATCCCCTACTTTCCGGATCTGTTCCTTGTAGCTCTCAAATTGTTGATGTAACCGCCTATAGGAAGGATGAATACAATTAAGTTAATCTTGTGATTTCAGTCCATCTTGCACATGGCATAGTAGTCATGTTTGTGTTGTGCAGCATGGCCACATCACCAATCCATTGCATCCTAACCAGAAAGAGTTTTTCTAGTTGAGTCTCACTGCTCAGAGGGAGAAAACTATATCAAGCAGTATAAAACCTGTACGAAACCAGATCAAGATTTACTGGCATATACTGGTTTTCATGTGGTCAGATCTGGATTTATTCTGAGATAGTAAGAACTGCCGATGCTGGAGTCTGAGATAACACGGCGTGGAGCTAGAGGAACACAGCTGGCCAGGCAGCATCAGAGGAGCAGGAAAGCTGACGTTTCGGGTCGGAGAATCATAGAATCCCTACAGTATGGAAACAGGCCCTTTGGACCAACAAGTCCACACCGACCCTCGGAACATCCTACCCAGGCCCATCCCCCTACAATCCACCTAATCTACACACCCCTGAACACAATGGGCAATTTAGCATGGCCAATCCACCTAGCCTGCACAACTTTGGACTGTGGGAGGAAATCGGAGCACCCGGAAGAAACCCATGCAGACACGGGGAGGATGTGCAAACTGCACACAGTCACTCAAGGGTGGAATCGAACCCAGGTCCCTGCTGCTGTGAGGCTGCAGTGCTAACCACTGAGCCACCGAAATGTCAACTTTCCTATTCCTCTGATGCTGCCTGGCCTGCTGTGTTCCTCCAGCTCCACTGTGCTATCTGGATTTATTCTGTTGCTCTGAAATCTGGCACCAGTGGTTTTCATGACTTTTCGGCATAGACTCAGATTAATCTGCTTTAAACACATGCAGCCTCTGCAGAGAAAGACTGAATGAAATTCCCAAGTGATTCGGAGCGTGGGCTTTTGAAATTAATGCAGACAGCTCAACAGCAGTCACTGCTTCCAGCTTCAAATGTTCCAATGAGGGTAACAAAATTTGACAAACTTTCTCACGTTTACCCCAGCCCACCAATGCACAATGATGTAAAAGCAAAATACCGGAGAAAAACAACAGTTCTGATCACATCTGTCTAGAGAGAAACAGAGTTAATATTTCAACCCAATATGACCAGGAATTCAGTTCTGAACCAGAGTCATACTGAACTTGATAAGTTAACTCTGTTTTTCTCTCTCTACAGTTGCTATCAGACTTGCTGAATTCCTCCAGCACTTTGTTTTTATTTAAAGCACAACATAGGGCTGGATTTCTACAAAAATGATGTTTTCTTTACCCTAGAGATAACAAGGTGTAGAGCTGGATGAACACAGCAGGCCAAGCAGCATCAGAGGAGCAGGAAAGCTGACGTTTCGGGCCTAGACCCTTCTTCAGAAATGGGGGAGGGGAAGGGGATTCTGAACTAAATAGAGAGGGGGGGGAAGCGGACGGAAGATGGATAAAGGAGCAGATAGGCGGACAGGTGCATTGGGAGAGAGATCTATTGAGGTTTTTCTGGAGGGAGGCGGGTAACTTCTTCAAAGTAGGCATCCTTAGCAGGCTTGGCCTGCTGTGTTCATCCAGCTCTACACCTTGTTATCTCAGATTCTCCAGCATCTGCAGTTCCTACTATCTCTGAAACCTTTTCTTTACCCTAGCTGGGATTCTCATGAAAATGCAATGGTGAGAGAGGGCAGCTGGATCAGTCCCCTGGGAGCTCCACAGCATGCTACACCATTGAGGGAGGAATGCAGCGGCAGCAGTCATAGATCAGAATCATAGAATGCCTACAGTGCAGAAGGAGGCCATTCAGCCCATTGAGTGTGCAATAACCCTGCAAAGAGCATCCCACCCAGAGCCATCTATCAAAGTGCAATGTTTCTAATAATTTTGTACAAAGGCTTCCTTCAATTTGTGCCAACCTAAAATGGTATGAAGATCTGCAAGGGAATTCTTACGCACAAGAGCAGAATCAAAGATCAAAAAGATTAATTAATTCATACATACACCAAAACCTGTTCTCAACAAACACAGTGGCTCAGTAGTTAGCACTGCTGCCTCACAGCGCCAGGGACCTGGATTCAATTCCAGCCTCAGGTGACTGTCTGTGCAGAGTTTGCACATTCTCCCCGTGTCTGTGTGGGTTTCCTCCCACAGTCCAAAGATGTGCAGGTTAGGTGGACTGGCTATGCTAAATTGCCCATAGTGTCTAGGGTAGGGGGTGGGTCTGGGTGCGATGCTCTTCAGAGGGTCGGTGTGGATTTGATGGGCTGAATGGCCTGCTTCCACACTGTATGGAATAAAGGGATCGTGGTTACTTGAGGAACTACAGTCTGAGCTTTGAACACTGACACATCAGGGAGGGGGAAGAGTTACCTGGATCTTGCGTAAAAGGAGGCAGTCAAACCCCTTGGGTTAAATACCTCAAATTCAGTCTGTGACCCTGGGATCTCCACAATAGTGGGTACAAATAAACGTTCTCTCTTACTTAATTCTTTCCTATGATATCCTGTTCTGTTCTTAATATTTAGGCTGCGTTGTGGATTCTTCTAGATCCTCCCCCACCAAGTTATTGTTTTTAAATTTACCCTGCACAGTAGGCCAAAGGTTCCATTCTGAATCAACTAGATCCATTCCGTCTATACAGATTTTTACAACCCAGAACTCATGCCAGTTTCCTTCCAATCTCTTTCACTCGGTAACCGGCAAGCATTACCACTGAGCTGTTTGCAGTGAATTTTATCAGATATCTGGGTCTCTTTCATCAAGGTGTGTTATTTTGTAAATGCGATTAGTAATAACAATCTTATCATTGGTAATTAATGCTTTTAATTGTCTAATTATTGGTTTTATTGTAGCATACTTAACTTGAAGGTTATATAGTATTCACGTTACACTGAAAGGGGTATGAAAGGATGAGTCAAGTTCACAAGCAACAAGACGTTACAGTAGGTAGTCAGGCATGAATGTGTTGGCCAAATGAAGGTGTGCTCTAAAATACAAATTTATTCAGTTACTATGTCTTTATTTTGCTAATCAAACAACTGCAACAGGGCAATGACTTCAATGATTTGCTTTTCATTTTCAGTTACAAACTGACAGCTGACAGGGAGCAGTGGGGTCTACTGGATTACCTTTGGGATTGACAAATTGCCAAAGTTAATTTGAGAGATGATTACCAACAGTTCTGAATTTGTTATTGAGAAGCTATAGTGGCATGTTAATTTTATACAGCAAAATTTCAGCTTGATGCAAGGTCGCAGTTATAATTATGCATGCGTGAGTGTATGAATAACACCCTGCTGTAATGCTGCGTGAAATCATAGAATCCCTGGAGTGTGGAAATAAGCCATTCAGCCCAACAAGTCCACACCGCCCCTCCAAAGAGCATCCCAGCCAGACCTATTCCCCTATTCCTGCATTTCCCATGTCTAACCCACCTAACCTAAACATCCTTGGGCACTATGGGCAATTTAGCATGGCCAATCCACCAACCCTGCACATCTTTGGACTGTGGGAAGAAACTGGAGCACCCGGAGGAAACCCACGCAGACACGGGGAGAATGTGCAAACTCCACACAGACAGTCGCCAGAGGGTGGAATTGAACCTCGGTCCCTGGCGTTGTGAGGCAGCAGTGCTAACCACTGAGCCCGCGTACCGCCCTACTGTACATCATACAGGAAATTTCAGTGCACATAGAACATACTTACAACTGGCTTGCATATGATTGCCCTTGCAGCTTTCTATCCATAAGTCATAGTTATACGCAAGGAAACAGTCCAACTAATCTGTACTGACCAGATACTCTAAACTGATCTAGTTCCATTTGCCAGCATTTGGCCCATACCCCTCTAATTCATTTCTATTCATATATCGATCCAAATGCCTTTTAAATGTTGTAATTGTATCCATCTCCACCACCCCTTCTGCTAGCTCATTCCATCCACGCACCACTCTCTGCTTGAAAAAATTGTCCATCAGGTCCCTTTTAAATCTTTCCCCTCTCACCTTAAATCTTCTACTTTTGGAGTCTACCTTGGGAAAAGACCTTGGCTATTCACCCTATCTATGCCCCTCACGATTTTATAAACCTCTATAAAGTCACCCCTCATGAGGTGGTAATATGATGCATGGTTAAATACTTTAAACAATGAACATGTGGTCTGAAGATACCCAAGCAATAGTGCTCAAAATGCTGACTTAAGCATAATACTCAGTCTCTTATATCAAAGACACAGAGACACGTGACAAAGACAGGTACTGCCAATACTCCCTCGAGTTCCATTCTGCACTTCCCTTTTCTCTATTACTTCCAATTCATCAGCTCAATCTTGTCTACTTTCTGTGTGATTTTTTTTCGAAAACTATCTCTTCCGCATCTTTCACTCCCTTCCCTTTTTCTACCTCTTTCCAACTGTTTGTCATTCTACCTCTTCCTTTCCTACTTGAGCTTTATCGGTCTTCTTCATTTCCTTCCATTTTTGTTAATGTCAGATTCTCTTTCAAATTATCTTCTTTACACGTGTTTGTGCTCTGTTCCCCTCTGTTCTTTTTTTTCTCTCTGCCCATTCTGGCTCTCTCTTTCTGCTCCTTCCCCACTGATGTTCCTCTCCATTTCTTCTCTTTGAATGTGTCTTTATTTGATCTCTGTACCCTTGCTTCTCGATGTGGGAAACATTCAAGGAGAAAACAGCAAGAGTACAGTGCAAATATGTTTCCGTGAAAATGAAGGGTATGTTCAGGAAGAGGGAACCCTGGATTTGAAGGGACATAACGGTTAGGATTAAGTTTAAAAAACAGGGGCTTATTGAGGCTCAAGAGAGTGACAAGAAAAATTGGCAGGTAGAATAACCAGAAACCCAAAGGGTTTTTAAAAATACATGAAGAACAAGAAGATAACTAGAAGAGTCGTGACAATGAGAGACCAGTAGACAACCTGTCCATGTGGACCTGAAAGATATGGGCACAGTTCTTAATGATTAGTTTGCATCAGTCTTCACAATGTAAAAGGACAATGTAGGGAGATATTAGGA